AGATATACTTCGCATCCAGTTTGCAATATTGTTGGCATTCGTTGAAATACGGTTGTGGTCAGACCCATCAAGTCGAAATTCGGATCTGGTTTCTATCCTCTTGCATAATGTCCTCGCGTGAACGAACCAACTGATTCTGGTAACAATCTGTGCTTACCATTGCGACGATTTGCAGTTCCAGACTTCGATAATGTTTGGTCATTTCACTTGCCTCATTCACAACTCCAATGAAGGCAAGAGTGCTACTTAGGGTTTCTTGTATCTTAAGTGGTTCTGACTGTTCAGATCAAAGTACCTGATCACGTGACTGAGGTGCGACAACTGCGGGGTAATCATGTTGCTTATTATGAATCATGATGAGTTTAAATTGTTTGACTTGAGAAAAATATTACGCTGACTAGTTAGCATGTATTTAAAGTGGCTGCTTCATCGATCGGATTTTTTCTCTACAACCTTCCTCCGTTCCAGTCGTGCTTCTCACCGTTGCTTAAGCAAAGGCATGCATGTTCATTTGCTGGGTGTGGCCAGTCGTCTAACGTTTTTTTTTCACTGTGGCGTGATCGATCACTGGCCCGCATCCGTGAAAGAACTAACGGATAGCCATCGGTAGGTATCCGGAACGGATGTGTCCATTGAGGCATCATGAATTCGCCACACGTAGTCGAACCGCAACATAATTGAATGAGAGTTAGTTTAGTATTACCGGATCAATTTTAGCTCTCCGGCTATGAAGCTCGTTCATCACGTGCACATTGACAAAAAGGACAGATGAAAAACTGATTGTTCTAAACATCTAACTGTTTCTAAACACGCAATAGTTTGTGCTTTTTCTGTGTAGGTTTTACCATTGACTCTTGGCGTTTGGACTGTAAAGTGCTCTGTTGTGATTGTTTAGTCAGTGGTGATGGAGTATAGGGTTGTGTGGCACTGAAATATGGTGTCACTATCCGCACTCAAATCCACCTTTCAGATCAAGTAGAGGCTGAAAAAGTCATATCATAGTCAGCAAACCTAATTCCGATCCTGCCAACTAGTGATAATCACTGAACTGTTCGAAGAAAATCCGTGTTGTTCACTGCATTTCGGTGATTCCTACCAACTATCTTCAAATTGTGAATTTGCATTTGGTAGCCAATTCCGAACACGATAAGAGTGAAACGTCTCGTGCTCCGGTGTAAGAGCTAATATCTAGTCAGAAAGTTGTGATCCATTAGAGTTGAGGCGAAGCAGATCACGTTTTCTGATTGATTCGGAACTGTAAAACATTAGTCTAACAGAAAAATGTTAGAAACGGTAGGAGGATAAATCATGCCAAAACACTCCTTTTCCAGTGAGGCTCCGGACAGACTGACTTAATCCAAATCACGGGAGAGCTGACCTGTAAGACTGGTTAGTCGCTACTGCTACGCGTATGTCCCCGAAGAAAGTAGTTGAGTTTCCATTGTTTTAGGTATTACTCCGACAGCTGTATGCACCACCAAATCCACGGGTTAAGATTGGAGCTGGAAAAGTGTAGTGGGAAATTTCACTAAATCATCTTTTATTTTAACAAAATTAAACGGGAAGGTCACTAGTCTCAGTATCTGCAATTCTGCGTGATATGTAGCATCCATTCCTAGGCAACGGTCATGTGACCCTTTGGTGATAGTTGTCAAAGGTTCACCACAGTGACAGCAACGTTGAGAGATAGATAATAGAGAGAGAGAGAAGGATTCCCAAAAAGCCACTATCAACTTGGACGAGCCGAAAATGGCTGACTGGTATTGAAGGGTCCGTTATTGATACTTTTCACGATACCGATTACAGCACGTACGAGATGGCGAGACAATACCACAAGTCTATGGTGAACCACGTAAAACCGATTAAAAGCAAAATATCTTTCGGAGAACTCCGGCACCAGTTGGTGAAAAGGGTCACAAACTCTGCTAACCATGCTTTGTAGAGAGGCGAAGGTTTTAGTGTGACCAAACAAAACAGTCCTCTTGTATGATATGGAAGACCCGAAGTTTTGGTAACTTCACAAACAGCAAAACGGATACTGTGTGACCCGGAAAAACAAATGTTTTTTTCTTACTGAAGCTACTTCGATAGGTTTTATGGTTGAAACTATTGCGAGCTTAATCTGTGGACAGACGAATGGTAGTTCAGTAGGTATATAAAATGGCAGAAATTCCATTAGCGGATGAGGTGCATTTCTAGCCAATAGGGCCACCGCTTTTGCTGCACTGCGTAGAGATTCGAGCATATATTCCGAGCGATACCTGACGACAGTAATCACACGAAATCCCATTTTAATGAGATATTGCTGCAGTTTGACTACATTATCTACAATGACTGCAGAAAAGCATTAAAGTGGTAAGTTGCAGAATGCAGTTCTTGGTAGTTTCCAAAGGTGATCGCAGTGCACACCTGATTCATCAGCAACGCACAT